TTTGTTCATGACGTCAAAAATTCGAAAAGTGGGGTAGGGTTTGGAAATACGCGTCCGCGAGGGAAAGTCTCTCAGCAAATTATCTTCAAGGTCTTTTGGGTGCCCTGGTGCGTTGTTCCATAGCAGCAATGCTTTCATTGGCAAGTAATTGGTATCAAGGTAGTCCTTAATGCTCGGGGCATAAACTTCAAATAGCCACTCTTTGAAAAGAACCTGCATGACCCATGCCCTTTGATTCGATATCCACATCACTGGCAGTTTTCTCTTGGTTATGAAATTTTTTGTAATGCTTTAGGATTCTCAGAGTGATAAACGAGAAGTGGCTTAAGCTTCATATCACCACTAGCGTTATCTCCCAAAAGTAACGTTTGCACTAATGTTTACATCAGCATTTATAAGCTATTCACCGATTTCAAGTTTACTCTTTTCAGAAATTTTATTCCACGATGCATTTGAACTTGTTTCAGAAAACCATGTGTTCTCCGAACAATATCCGCAAAATCTGCGCCAAATTAAACACAAGATTGTTTTGTTGCATACACTTACTTCCGTTGTTCTCTTCGAGAAGGGGATGAATAGCTTCTGCTTCTCGCTTTCTCCGTTGGAATTGTAGCGTAATTTATTTTTCTTCGGGCACAACGACTGAGAATACAGCGCTCGGCTGTGTCTATTTTTATTATTGTAGTTGACTCAAATTCTTCTCAAATTTCATAGTTGCTCCTTTTCTCTTGTAAGAACTTAATATTATGTGAAAATTATATGTTAAAAAAAAGGGCATTCTTTTATTTTAAGATGTTTGGTTATTTTGTAAGGTTATGTAAAAGCAGTTATATATTTTATTACTGTGCAATATTATTCGATGCATAGTTTTAATAAACTTAAAATGAGAGCTTTTTTTTTCTTTCTTTCTTTGCGTGCTTCTTCTCGGAGATGAAATACGAAATTGGTTCATAACTTTATAAAAAATATTTTTAATACATTAAATAGCGTTTGACCCAAATTCGAGTGTTGCGTTTTGTGTCAAGTGAGTTTTGCGCTTGCGAGCTTAAACGTTTACTGCGTTATACAGAGTTTTAATATATTACTTTAAGATGCTACAATGCATTATATTTAGGAATTTTAGATTTTACCGATGATTTATTTTTCTTCCTTATGCACTCTTTGTTGAATGGAATTATGAAGAATCATTGGCTTAAATAAATGTATGTTCTTTGCAATTGGAATTAGATTTTTTTAATGAGTATTAAAAGTGTTCGTATGTTCTAAAACTGATAGGTTGTCAAATTACATTGAAATCGTTGTCCAGATGCTAGTTGTAGGTGTTAGAATATCCTGATAGCAGTGATGATCTTAATAATGTACAGAATCTGCTTCAGTTGTGAAAATTTTATTTCATATTCACACTGTATTATCTTGCAGCTTTCTTATTTTTGAGTTTTCAAGTGTAGAAGAGTGATGATTAAAATTTTTATGTAGCATATAGTCATTCTTTTTTTGCATTAACATATTTAAAACATTAAATACACTTCATATTGAAATTGAAGAAGGGGGGAGCATTAAAGGTATGCCATAATAAAATTCAAAAATTTCTTCTGTTTAGCTCCTTTCAAAAAAATAAATAAATAAATAAACTGATTAGGTGTAACAATTTTGTAATGAAATTATTTATTTTTTAAAGTTTTCGTAACCTCTATGCCATTATTGGCAAAAGATGTGACTAGTATGTATAATTTGAAAATAATTAGAAATTTTGCATCAAATCGTATGCAGATTTTGGGTAATTATATATTGTATTTTGGAGAATATTTTAAATGGGATATTTTAGCTGTAATTTCATCTGAAATTATCCACTTATCCTCAAAAGTTAACTGAATACTGAATAATTTTTCAAATATGTATTATTTATTTATTTTTTTACGAATGTAATTATTATAATGCATTCTTATGCCATAATTATTATTGAATATTATTGCCATTATTGCATAAATTTGTTCAATGCATTAACATTTAGAACTTTGTGCATTATTCTGCATGGAAAAAGTTTTTATTTCTTGCAATTTATTTTTTATTAGAAATGTAAACTTTTTAAATTTACCTTATATTTTCATGTATAATTTTGGTACTTCTCTGTTTTGCATTTGCCATGCATTTTGGCAGGTATTGTAAAAAATTTCTAGTTATAAGAATATAGATACACACACACATAATGATAGCTCAGATGTAGTTGTTTAGTCTTGCTGTGTGTTTGGCCTCTGTATTAGAGTCACCAGAAAGTGTGGCAGGTACCATAATTTTTTTATAGTTTTTTTTAATATATTCCACACTTCACAAGTATTTGTTAACATTGTTTTGAATTTATTGAAGGCTTTTTTATAAACTTTCAGTTTATGGACCACTTTTTTCTTTTTAATCACGAAGGGTTTTGTTTTGCATGAAGGGTCGGAAACGAATAGCCTTGCAGCTATTCGTTTGAGGTATATTTGAACTCCGTACAAGTTCATAAAATCAAGTGTCAGTTTTAATATAAAAATGGATGAATTTCTAAATATTTAAGCATATTTTTATTACTGTACATTTCTGAATATAATCAAAGTGTGTATTTTTTCTTTAAAAATTTACCCGACATTCAAAACTTCTTATAAGTTGAAATGATATTAAAAATGTCTTGCAACATTTAAGCATGTTGCTATGAAGGTGAAAATGTTGCAAAGCAGGTAAAACAAGTGGAATATTTTCCAATCAAATCATTGTGAAGTAAAATACTAGGCACCAATGACTATAGTTTTAAGTCTGATTATCCTATCTGAAGCTAGCACATTCGTTGTCTTGTATACGATCTGTGGCATCTGGTCTTATTTTCTGTGTCATTTAAATTTTTGTCTGAAAGATGAGCGCACGCCTGTTGAAAATTCCAACAACTGTATGGCTGCTCAGCATTTCTCTGTAAATGAAAAACGAATTCCAGAACGGAGAAAGCCTCACACAGATTTCGCCAACATATCTTTCAATGCAACAAGCCAGCATTATAAACAGATTTGAAAATAAAACAACTCATTTTCATAAAGTGAATAATTCATTTAATTTAAATTGAAAAACATAACGGTAAAGAAAACAAGCACAAAAAAACAAACAGTTAACGATCTAACTCATTTTTCACAATTGTATTGTATCAGTATAGCAGTTTTTATGCTTATTATTTTCAATCTCCTGTCAATGCAAAAAGAAGTTTCAAGGTTATGTTAGAGGTATTTTAGCCTTCAGAAAACGTTTGTATGAACTTTTCAATATGTTTATAATTTTTTTTAATAAATTGTTAACAAAATTAAGTAATGTAATGAATAGGATTTTCTAGTATGTATAATAATAAATTGTACTTTCCACTGTGTTTATGTACACTGGTTATCATAAATTAAGGAAAAATCACGGTTACTGAAAAAGTTACGTGTAGAATTTTATGAAACTTACTCACAATACACAACACAAAGTAAGGTATCAAATAACATAAAAAGAAATTACCAGACAATTATGGTAGTATAGAAATTAGCACATGTATAAAATGAACAAATCGAAGATGTCAGTTTGCTATAGTAAAAGTACCTTCAATATGGAATGTAATCGCCTCTAGAAGCAATACAGCACATACAACGATGTGTGATGCTTTCAATTATGCGGTCTATCAGTTCCATAGGAAGCGAGAGCCATTGCTCTTTCAAAGCAGTTGCAAGGGTCTAGAGGGTGGATTGAGGGCAGCTAAACATCTCCCTAAAGCATCCCAAACGTGCTTGGTAGGATTCAAGTCCGGGGATCAAGCTGGCCACTCCATTCGCATAATTGTTTCCTGTTGAAGATAATCGTATACGATGCGAGCCCTGTGTGGTCTTGCATTGTCGTCCTGTAACACAAAAGCATCACCTATTGCCCCGGCATATGGGCGCACATAAGCATCAAGGATGTCATCTCTATAAACATGAGCATTCATGGTTCCCTTTGGAAAAACATGTAGGTCTGTGCATCCACCCAAAATGATGCCACCCCAAACACAGACACTGCCTCTTCCGTATGCATCTCTTTCACAGATGTTTGACGGATGATAATGGGTTCCAGGTTTTCTCCATATCAAATAATGCCTACTATCGTGGTCTAGACTAAACCTGGACTAATCAAAGAGAATAGCTTTCCATTGCTTAGGCGTCCAGTGGACATGTTGTCGTGCCCACTGCAAACGATCCTTCCTATGGTGTGACTTGAGCAGCACCCAAATGGTTGTTCGCCTCGCATACAGGCCACCTTCGTGAAGCGTTCTACACACAGTTGACGTTGACACCAACCTTCCAGTGGCTGCAGCAAGGGAGGATCTAAGAAGAATCGGAGTAGCGGTTCTATTCATGCATAATGTCAAATATTGGTCATCGGCGCTCGTCGTAGCAGTTGGCCGTCCTTGGCTAAACCTCCTAGGTGCTGAATCTGTGATTTGAAATTGCCTCCAAAGTATATGAACCACAGAAGGACTCACATTTAGCCATCGGGCCACTTATGTTTGACTCTGTCCTGCCTCTAGTCTCCCAATGGCTTTCTGTCGTAGTTCTGCAGGCAAATGATGCCTGGAAATCATTGTTACGAATTGGCTATCTCAGATTTCTGATGTCACTATCACAGTGAAATAGGTGGGCTTGCTCACAAACATGGACTTTTATGCTCCTCGCCAATGAAGTATTCCAAGTGCAATGCCACTAATTTGCATATCGGAGTTTTACTCAGCTACTCTTACTTTTGGCAACATATTTAAATTTTACACGGTTTGGCTTATTTTTTAGGGAGTTATCGCTATTTTTGTGATTTTTCCTTAATTTATTATAACCAATGTATGTTACTTTTTTAAGTAAATTCTTCACATAATTGTATTAAATACAATAATTGAAGTGTACATTAAATAAGTTATGTAGTATTGTGTTATTATTTTAAACAAACTGCTGACAAAATTGTATTTAATGCTATAATAACAAAAATTTATATTCAATTCCTTCTGTGTGTATATATATATATATAAGATAAAACATATATTTTTATCTTACATATTCCCTCGCCCTTCAAAAGAAAAAGGCGTAGCGACAGAGAAGCCTTTTTAAAGAAAAAGAGTTAAAGCACTAGCAAATGTAAAAAAAAAAAAAAAAAACATAAATCATAAAATTTTTGTCCTGTAAAGTATAATTTATAAATATCAATATTTTTAAATAAATTTTTAATTTTTAGATTCCTAATGAATTTTTCAGCATTTCAGTCCAAAAGTCTTTTTGTTTGAGAGTTCACATAATCATAATTCTTCAGGGAAGGTTCTTGTTATCATAGAATATCACAAAACAAACTTTTACATAATCATTACTTATAATTAAATGTAATGCGCATAAATATTTATGATACATATTTCCATACTGATAAATTATAATTTAACATCATAAATAATAGGATTAAGATTTTCAGAATTTATGGTTTCACCGTTATCATCTTTCATTTACTATTCCTGATTTTACCAAACTGGAAGTCTCGCAATACTTCTAAGCAAACATATCCATCAATAGAGCTGTACTCTTGAGCTAACCAGTGTGTTCTCTGTATTGGTGGCCCAGGGTTGCCTAGGACAGTTACTTGAAAAGGCCTCCGTTCCTTGAATTAAGGTAACTGGCCTTTGAGAACTACACTAATACATTCAATAATAAAAAAATATAATAATAACAACAATATAAAAAAATTTCACACACTCATAAAATGAGAGCCTCCAACATTATCTTACTTGAAGAGGGTGAAGTGAACAACTGTACAGAGGTAATTACAGGCCTCTGCTTAGGAACCCAGAACTCCTAACATACCTATACTTAACTACAACACCCATAAATTTAACATGCATTTACCATAATTTTCATATTACGATCTGTAATAATTTCAGTTATTTTTACACCTACTTCATTTTTAGAATAATTATAAAATTCATATTCAAAATCTCAAAAATTTCAAAAAATAAAAATTATCTTAATATCTCCCTATGACTAATTTAAATAGCGAAAATTGTTATTAATTTGCTCACACATAATTATGAAAAATAAGAACAAGAATTTAGATTTCTCAAAACACATTGAGAAAATTTTTTTAACCAAAAGTGAAATGAAAACATAGAATCCGCAGACATCATAATTTAGTTCCTGAGCTAGATTCACACGATGTATAATTTTGAAAAAAGCGGAAGTACAAATATTTTCTGCGCACATATGCAAACACTAACTCGCTCGACCTGAATCCTATGTAAGATAATCTAAACGGTAATCATGATGATTTCCTTTCGCTAGGCATCGAACTTCTCAATTTCGAGGATACTTTCAATCGTAAACGCGTCTATTTTTTTGAAGCACTTGCAAAACACCACAGCAGAGAATGATTGTTATTTTTTAACACTGAAAAACAACGTGAGATATCTTTCACATTTCTTGGATTATCACAAAACAATGATTGAGAGGAAATAAGTTTTCCATTGAGGTTTCAGGCTGCAGGAAACTATCCTACCAGCTTAATA